CTCTCTCTCTCTCTCCCTCTCTCTCTCTCAACTGGCGAACTCTCCGAGAGTACAAGCTGCGACGATAACTGCGCCGCTAAAAAAAAACGAATTACGATTGACGACTTTGTATTTTCCTGGTAATCGTGTCAATGAACGTATGTCCAAAAAAATCAACTTTTTTATTTGAAGGTATTTTGACACGAAAACTAGATATTCTGACAATAGACCGAAATTCAATCGACTTGATTTTTTTGGACATACGTTCGTTGACACAATTAACAGTGATTTTATATAAATTTTTGTAGAGCAGCAGCCGCCGGTGGGTCGTGTTTGGACCCGCGACCCGAAAAAGGTCGTCCCGCGCGACACTGCGGCATCAGGGAGTGGGCAGCGGGGAGGCTGTCCGTGCGCCGCGGCCCGGCTGCGCCCAGCGAAACACTGTAATCATCCCGCCGGAGGTGGTCTGCCGCCTGCCGCTCTTGGCGTGGCTTGGCGCGGCAGCAACGGCCTCTCCCGAAAAGGTGCATCGGGCGGAGCACAGAGAGCGATGTCATGGGGGTCACGGGGTCTCTTCCAAGGAGGAAAAAAGTCCACGCTTAAAACAAGCCCCAATTGGGAAACGTGAATCCGTTTGTGGAGCGAGCGTTTGATGCATTTTACTCTTCTACCGGTTCTGTTATAAGAGAGATAATTATTTCATTTCCCTGACGGCCGGCCTCTCGTTAGAGTCCACAATGTGTCAGATCTGACGTGGGGGGACGCCTGGTGTTAAGCAACCGGTGCGGGTGGGCCCCAGGCTGAGTAAATCCTCTCGCGCTCTGCCACGTCTCTCTATGTGCACTGTAAAAATTCTTTGTCACGATGACGAAAATACCATGGCTAATTTTTAGTACAGTGGTGTCGTCATGGGTTTTCTCGCCACGGTGACGAGAAAACCCTGAAGCTAAGTAAGGTATTACAAACATTATTAATCGAAAGTTGTCCTCGACTAAATTGCATGCGCGTCACCTGTTATATCCCAGTCTTCTGATATTAAAACGCTATGTCAGCAGGCTAATGATCTAATCGAGGGCCCTTAGTGCTTTACGAGTCGAGCCGATGTCCTCTCTCCGATGTCCCGATCAAACGCTGCCGACAGGACCAGCTAGGCGGTTGCAAGTGGAGTGAAGTGGAAAACCTATCAACGAGGAGTGAAGGAGTATCGGACCTAGCTTGCAATGTGAAAACAGTCCGATTTAGACGGCACCATCATTCTGGACGTGATTCTCTGTCGCTGATGCCCCACTCTAGATCCTTGTGCATTGTGTTGGGCATGCAGAATTTCATACAGTCATGATATATTATGCACAATGTTAATGTACAGTTTGTGCATAATTATGGACACTTGGTACATAATTACGCATAAAATTTGAGCATACTTATGGCTTTAAAGAATTCTGCATGTTTATGCACACAATGCATAAGGGTTTAGTGTGCCCCACCACACCTGGCTGTTTCGCCACCGGCTCATTCTCTTTCTCGTGCGCGTCCGATTGGTCTTTGTCCAGTCATGACGCGGGTACCGCACTGGTCCTGTCCTTCCCCGCCGCACCGACTCGCATTCAAATAATGATACGAATCTGTTGGCGGACGCGTCCCCGCTTGACCCGCCCCGACCCCCGCGGCCCTGAAGACACGCATTACCCGCCGGGCCGGGACCGGGCCGGGCCTCGGGAGGAGCCGCGCTCAGGGATGGGTGCCCGCCGCCCGCTGGGCACCGACCGGAGGACATCGCACATATCGCCCACGAAAGACCTCCGACCAAAAGCGCCCGCCGATGAGAGATGCGGTCGAAGGACTACCAGTCGACGTGCCCGGTCAAAGAAATCACTGTCCTAAAACGTGTGTGTTTCGGGGACGGTCCAGTCGACTGCGGTGCGTACCAGCGCCCCTCCCCCCTCTCTCGCCTCCTTTTCTCTTCAAGAGGCAGAGTATCGCCTGCTCGCGCACATCGAAGCGCGGCGCTTGCTGCTAGCGCCGAGCGCCCGTTGCGTAGGCAGCCCATTCGACACCTCCCCGAATATTAAAACAACTGTGTAGCTGTCATCTTACAGCCTCGTGAAGTTCTGACCGCCCGATTAAAAACCATTTTTTTAGAGTTTGTACGATAATTTTTCTTTATTGCAGTATTCCAGTACAGAGCCGCTTACACATCGATCATGTTCCTCAATTCTATTACAGTTTATGTATTTGGTCGATAAATACTACTTGGTGGCACGAGGCACGGTGTGCGCACGTGAAGCACTGGTAGCACCGGTCATGAAGCAGTTTTGGACTACATTTAAAAAAATTGGGCTTTACGAATTCTTATATTTAACAACACAGCCAAGTAGTTTTAGTCAGGTAGTTCGTAGCATCCCATCAAGCGTTTGATACTGCAGGGTGGCCTACATACCCGCTGGTAATATTTTGTGATGGTAATGTACCCCGTGCGAGTAGGCAACGCGTCCAGGCGCCTGCATGCGGAACTTGGAAATATTACCGGCAACCCTGTGTGTACACAATAGTCTTAGGTCTGCCGTTGTAAGCTGCCGGTGGCGTTACGCCCCTACAGCTCGTCGTGCGCCGGCGGCATACGGCCAATCTGGATGGGAACCTCGGACCACAGCTGCATGCGCTTCGGCGCCATGTTGGCTCTCATCTGGATGTCCCCAGGAGACCCGATGTGCATGTACTCGGCGGCCTCCGGGTGCCGCACCTCCTGCCAGGAGCGGTCAGGCATGGGTTGCCTGGGAAGAATAGTTATCGAAATTCAGACATTTTAAATGAGAAAGATGATTTTTCAAACAAAGTAATTTAAAAAAAAAATCAAAAGAGAAAAATACTTTTTCCACCCTCAGCAGCGTAGTGACCAGCACGCGCCGAGCCGCCGTGAGAAACGGCGATATCGGAACGATAACACACCGATATTGGATACCAGAAAATTGTCGATTATCATGTATCGATCATGGAACTGTCCTCAAATTGACACATTTCTGATATTTGGCATTGTGTTGATATCGATTCGAAATCGCTTCCATTTCAATTTCTCATCGAAAGAGGCTCGAGCGACTTGCCGCAGGTCAGTGTCGTGTACTCACCCCGTCCTCGCGAAGCGCACGATGTACTCGATAAACTTCCTGGACACGAACACGTCGTCGGTGGCGAGTTCGCCAGGCAGCACCTCCGTCATGGGGAACAGGTACTGCAGTTCGTCGCTGTGGCAGACTCCTAACGGCGTGACAGAGAGAGAGAGAGAAAGGCGGGCGGGTTAAGCGCAAAGATATTGAGCAGCCTCACACCGTGCCCGGCCATCGGGGGGTGTATCCAGAGACCTACAACTTACAACCTAACCGAGGTCCCTGATTGGTTAATTCGCCCAAAACAAAGGACTCGCGGGGTGAATTGGCCAATCAGGGGCCTCGCCCCTCACCATAATCAGCAGACGGCGCGCCAAACGTCACGATGAAACTCCTATGACTCTGACTGAGGTGAGCAAACTCGTAAAAGTAGACGGGGGCCTTGGTGTGCTTCTTGTGTTGCTTGATGACCTGCATGGTCGGGTACAGGAAGACCGCGTCGGTAGCCATCTGTGAAAATCAGATTGTGTTTGCTTATTCGATCACGAGTGATGGACCGTATGTGCCAATGACACACCCAGGTCAGTTAGAGCAAGGGATGTAGAATAATAGACACCAACATCGATTATATTGAACACGGCGTCCTTGCCGATGGGTCCGTCGCCGAAGTAGAAGTGGCGCACCCGCTCGAGCGTCTCGACGCGCAGCGGCTCGGGGTAGCTGCCGAAGCCGATGATGAGGTTGGTGAGGTACACGAAGCGCTCGTTCAATAGCTCCAGGTTGGTCTCGTTGCCGAGGATCACTGTGGAGCAACGTAACAGAGATATGATGAGATGGTTCCTGACGGCGTCAGCAGAGGCACACTCGGGACCCGGACCCCGGACCGGGCACACGCACATCCATAGCGCTTGCTGGGATCGTCCAGCAAGTACATCGTCTTTTTTTCAAGTTCATCCCGTAAATTACAGGGGCTCGGCGCCTGCGATACTCACAATCAGAGTAGGCCACCCCGCAGTACATGCATGTACTGGAAGCGAGCTGTTGCCTACCAATCAGGCGCTTGTCCAGCTTGCACTGGCTCGCAGACGGCGGATAGGGCCATCACAAACAGGTTGCATCACCAAACGTTTCCTGGTTTGGTTGCGTCAAGAAACGTTCCCTCGGTAACATTAGTTTTTCCAGTGCTCTGGATGATCTCTTTGCTAGACGATAGACCGCGCCGTGCACCGCGAGCCACGAGACTGACGAATTCCTCACCCCTACGCAGCTGCGGCGACAGGCGACACGGAGAGCTCTCCCGCGGCGCCCCCGCCCCACCTCCACTGCTACCCACCTGCCACGGACACGCCGCCGTCGTGCGACGTGATGCCCGTCATGAAGGGCACGTCCTGGTGCAGGTACCCCGCGGCGTAGGCCTCTCGCGGGTGCATGTCCATGAACGGCGCGTCGTCGTCGTCCTCGGCGGCGCGGCTCTCCACCGTCGCCTTGAACGGCATGTGCGGGTGGATGTCCCACTCCACGAAGCGCTTGTCCACGCTGATGATCTCCTCGGCCGTCTTGGAGCGCAGGCACTCGGCCAGCGCGTCGCTGGGGGACTCCGGGCAGCCCGTGTGCGTGGCCAGCACGCGGGCCTGGCGGCGCGCCTCGCCGGGGGAGTGGAAGGACCACGGCGTGAACGAGTTGCCACTCATGGCCATCGCACGGTGGAACAGGCCTGGTGAGCAAGAAGAAAGGTTGAAAAGGTGCAAATATGAACCATAATCAGACGTAAAGAAGAACGTTGGCACAGCGGTATAGTCTCAATACTTATGGTGGGGTCACTGTTTCAAAAATATCTGAAAATCAGACGATCTAATCCGAAGCAAAATTGCATAAATTAACTCCGAAAATTCAGACTAAACTGTAGTAGGTAAAATATTTATCAGTTCTCAGAGTCAAATTTTATACCACTCGGACGGAATGACTTGCTGTTCGGGTCGCACACGACAACGGACGTGGAATTAGGGGATGGAGTAGAGTTGGCATTCCCTCCATTCCCTGCCCTGCCCCACCATGTGCCCCACCCCACAGCGCGCGGGGTATTTACGGGCAGGTT